TATCGCTATATATATATATATATATCGCTTCTTTTGGGCTTGTTTCCATAGCCCTGGTTGCTTGTTTCTCTGGGCTCAGTCGGCGAGGGCTCAGTGGAGAAATCTTGTGGTGTGCACACACAGGTTGTAATGCAGTTGGCGAGACTCCAGATGACAGAAACACACGTTGCCAGGTATGAACACACAAAAGATTACGATAGTCTCCGCGACGCAAAATCGGGGTGAAAATCGTGTAATGTGAACTAGCCTTAAGGCGTAATGTACAGTGTAAACAGAGTGAGGCAGCAATAAAACGAACGGTAGGGAAGGAACAGTAGAGGAAGTACAGAGATTATATTCAGCTTTTTACAGATGGGTCAAAGGATCCACTAACAGAGGCAACAGGGGTAGCAGTGGTGATTCCTAGTCACCAGACTGGGATCGGTAAAAGGTTATCGGATTAGAGTGTCTATGCCGCTGAGCTATTTGCAGTACTGTCAGCATTAGGGTGGATGGAGGATTTAGCAACAAGTACAATTCTCATTTGCAGTGACTCAGTATCAGCACTGCCAAGTATTAAATCAGAAAAAACACCAAGACATCTAGTGTTTGAAAAACTTCTTACAAAATCAAGGTTTAACCAATCAAGGGCCAGCACACATGCAGGAATCCTGGGTAATGAAAAAGTAGACAAGTTGGCAAAAGAGGCAGTTAAGAGAGGAAATGTGGAAAGTGATGTCAAACTTTCAAAATCAGAGGGGAAAAGCATTATTTTGAGCTAAATCATCAATCAGTGGCAGCAATATTGAGAAAGTGGGACAAAAGGAAGGCATTTACATGAAGCTCAAAACAAAGTAGACTGAGATTGAGAATGGGTCACAGTAACTTGAAGAGCACGCTTTTGTAATAGGGAAACATCCAATCGGTTATTGCAGTCGGTGTGTAAAGGAGTCAAGGGAGCATGTTCTCATTTCTTGCAGGAAGTATGAGGAAGATAGAAGGGTGATGATGGCAGGATTACAGAAGGTAGACGAAGTGAGGCCAGGGTTAAGGACGTGCTTGAGAGTGGAGAAAGGTGATTTTTAGGTTTCTGAGAGCGACAGAATTTATCAGAAGACTGTAGAAGATCAGGATAGCAACGGTCGGATAAAACCATGAGGAGGCAGTACTACAACTTGAAAGATGCCAACTACTGTAAAACACCAAAGAAGAAAAAGAGGACTCGCTGAAGAAGTAGTGAGGGTAACAAACCTGCTATGTGTAACTGAAGCTGAGGGCTGAAAACAGCGTCCAGTAGTTTTCGTTGTCGCTCGTTCTCCTCTTTTGATCTAGAGAGTTCCTCCTCGTACTCTGCTATCGTTCTTTCAAACAGCCCAAATATTTCTTCAGCAGCCGCAGTTAGTCGCTGCTTCACCGACGCTCTTAGGATTTGGGCTTTAGACATTTTAGACTTTGTCTCCACATTCAAACACTGTTTGCTCTCCATCAAACAGTAACTCTGACAGGCGCTTTGTTGCTAACTTCCGTCCCCATCAGTGTGTTTCTAGCTAGCATGCTAAGCTAACTCCAATAGATTTGTAGGCTACCGGGTGATGAGTCAGAGGAAAAACATTCAGGAAAACAGAGGTTCTGATGGATCACTACAGCTGGAGCTCACATACACTTTCTCACTTACAATGAAGGGCCTCGTTCACGACATAGCATGTAAAAATATTTCCGAGCTAAGTGTACAAGACGCTATTTTGCTATAAACACTCGGCGCCAGCAAGAAAATCACTTCCGGGTCCCCTCGCCCTTCAAAATAAAGCCTCCAGAATTTTTTATAGTGTCCACGCTTTGACCACAAAATATAATGTGGGTCTTTAAATCAGTTATAGCGTAGAAAATGTAATACTGACCAACTTTTATCAAAAAATGTTCTTAAATGGTGAAGTTACGTTGCACATTAACAAGTTCCCATTTGAGTTCTTGAAAGTGTTTTTATGTTTTATGTTTTAATTATGGCCTATTTATTTATTTTTTTATGTGATCTACTAAGATACAAGAATTTCCCCTATGGGAATGAATAACATATCTATCTATCTATCTATCTATCTATCTATCTTGAATGTTCATATTTAATACAGTTAAAGCCAAATTTGCTGATCAAAAAATGGTCTTAATGATTAAAATCATGATTTTCCAAAGTATAATTCTAGCAGCAACCAGCAGATTTTCAGGGGGTAGTCTCATCACCATGACTGTTTGCAGTTTTCTTGCATATTCGTGGACCTCTACTTTTTTTTCTATCATTAGTCTAAAAGAGTGTCAGAGTGGTTTTGCACATCTTAGCCAATTTAATCTGAATCTCATAATTTTCTTAATTCCTGACATGCTGTTGTGTCTTAGATTTATTTTTTTGTACGTCTACGAAGTTACAAATATTTTTTCCTTGAGCCTCCATGACTGATTTGGGGAAAATGCATGACCCTCCCTCCACCACAAATTAGTTAGGAGATTTAAAAACGTACACTTTGATGTTTAAACGTTAAAAGTTAAAAATGAAATCCTGGAGTTGAAAAAAGCCTCAGTTTTTCACTCTTGTCATGCGGCTGGTTAGTTCATTCAAGCAGTTTATGTTGGGCCAAATTTCAAATGAGATGTAGAATATCGTCATTTTGATAAAATATCATTATTTTAAGCTCAGCTTTTGTTGTGTTTTTTTTCTGACGAAAGCATTTGTGGGACATGATGTGTCCAAGGACTGTTGGAAATTTGTGAAGCCAATGATAATTTCTGTTTTTACAGTTTCTGGCTATAAATATTTTAATTTTGGTGGTTTTTAAACATGCCTTCCAAATAGCAGTTTTTTCTTCTTTTCTTTAAAAATCTGCAGTTCAGTAAATACAAAATACAGCCATTTAAATTTGTATGCCCCTCCCCTGAGCCACAATAAAAAACACAAGTCTCTCCCCAGTGCTTTAAAAATTATTTGACATACCTACCCTTCAATTTTATAAAGTAACTAACTCCCTCCTGTGTGATATATCTCTTAATGTGAAAATGATTTGGCAAAGGGACCTCAGGGAAGAAAATGATGGTGACATATGGTCTGAAATTGTGTCAGGATGTGGTAAATATGTGAAAGAAATGAGGGGGAAGCTCACACAACATAAGATACTGCACAGATTTTATCATACACCATTACGACTCTACCGAATTAAGTTGTTAAATTACAATAGCTGTTGGAAATGTAAAAGTGAAATAGGAGCTTTCCTGCACTGTATATGGGAATTTAGTTTGGTCAGACCACTCTGCATTAGAGTATTAAAAAATTTAAGTTGGTGGTTGGTTCAGAAATCCCTTGAAGTCCAAAGCTGTGTTTACTGGGGGTTGGTCGCAAATACCAATTGTGTCCAAGTGTGCATTTTTTGTTATTATTGTGGGTCTAATAACTGTCTGTCAAATTATTCTAAGACACTGAAGATAACAAAGGCCCCAGAATAGAAAAAGAAAAGGTTAATCTGGTGGTGAAAATAGCATCTTATTAATGTATGCTCAGTAGAATAAATGGCGATCAGGAGAAAGGAGTATCTCCTTGGGACCGGTTATGGACTCATATCAAAATGGAAAATAAGCCTATATAATTATGAACTTGCTCTGTGATTATGTGACCCCATATATATACCCTGACTACAGTTCCTTTACAATGTTCAACCACTGTCGCGGACTTGGAGGGTCAAGTTTTAGCCAGTTCCTAGTGCCTTTTTGCATGCCACTATAAGGATTTTGAACAGATAAGTGTCCTTCATATGAATAATGTCCTCGAGTATTAATCCTAAGTACACAATCCGTGGGTCCCTTGGGATCTTGTAACTCTCTCAAGGATCAGAATAATCCTATCACAGAATGTTTGAAGTTTTATACATGACCAAAGTATATGTGAGTGATTGGCATTCACGTGCCCACAGAGTCTCCAGCAGTGCTGTTGTTCACCTGATTGCTTGAATTTTGTACACGGTGTGATAAAAAAAATCTAATGATATTCTTCCAGCCAAATTCTCTCCATTTTTTGTGCTGGTGGAGGTTTACTGCGTGCTACAGATGGAGTGCCACTCATCTCCAGACAGATTAGCATTCAGTTCTGCTTTCCATTTCCATTTCACATACAAAGTATTCCTTCCATCACATTTTCAAAAACTCATATACAATTTGGAGACTGTTTTGGAAAGGATAAGTTTGTATCGCTTAATAAAAAAGTTCAGCCAGTGTCACCACATTTTCTGCAGTTTAAGGTTGTACTTCAATAGACCGAATTAATTGGACATCACGTTAACAACAGTCACTCCCGGGTAGACAACCAGCAGTTGATTACAACTGCAGAGATATGTCAAATTGGTAAACAAGTTGATTTCTGTTGTCATTTTCAGCCAAAATCAAAACTGTAACATTTAAAGAAACATAGGTAAACACTACAATCCAACTCATCTGACAGTTCTGCTGTGCTTATTTTATGTACTTTGTTGCTTTGCTCTCATCTCCGATAAACCAAATCTACCAGCACAGAAGCTAAGCAATGTCAGTTGCAGCTGTGGACAGAGTCGCTGCAAATATGTATTTTAGCCACCTAAAACCTATATCAGTGTAAGTGTCCACTATATTTTAATATTTGTTCCACTTTACCTTACACACAAACTAACCATGTTCAATTTCTACTGTAAAGCAAGAACAAGGAGGTAATGACTTCAAACTGTAAAGAAAAAGCTACTGAATAATGATAAAGTTAAATATTTTACATCAGTTTCAGCACTGCTGATAATTTATCTCAAACCACAGAGCTGCCCAGGACATATGAAATCCCTTTAGACAATGTTAAACAAGTTGAATCAGTTCAGACATGTAATACCAAAAAGTACAGTGCCCCAGAAAAATGTCAAAATAACGTAGACGCAAATTGACAAAAATTTAAATGTTTGTGTAACTTCATCTTCTTTTAAAAGACTTACTGTGGAGTCTGTATCAGCCTTAAGTCTGTCAGTTTTTAGCTGATTGGTTTTGAACCAGGTCTTGCCCTCAGGAGCTCAATCCTGCTCTAAAAAAATGTCTCAATTGCATCTCTGCAGCTTCATTTATTACTGCTGCTCTCACCAACACACTCATGTTTTTTTAACATTATAGAACTGAGAGAATCTTTTGTCACAAACTGAACAACTAAATGGTTTCTCTGCTGTGTGAACTCTAGTCTGCAGTGTTTCCCTTGTGGTCAAATCTTTTCCAGTTTTACAGTCCATGTCACTGACAGGTACTTCATTGTTTTTTAAGGAGCTTAAACCTGATTGAGGTTCTCTGTCCTTTTCCAGTCATCACTGCCATCAGTCTCAGAAGTCTCCAGTCTCGTCGATGGTGTCTGTTTGCAATTGTGTATCTGGATCAGAATTCCTGGCTGGTTCTGGTCCTCCACAGTCCATCAGCTTCTCTTTCTATCTGTTCAGTTAAGCTTTCGGCTGGAGGCTCTGCCTCTCTGTTCTCATGAGTTTGACGACCAACACATTTATGTCTTGTGACCTGAGATGACCAGGCAAATCTTTTGTTACAAACACTGCAACTGTACAGTTTCTCCCCTGTGTGATGTGTCATGTGCTGGGTCAGATTTATCTTTTGTCTAAAACTTTTATCACAAATGGAGCAGCTGTAAGGTTTCTCTCCTGTATGAGTTCTCATGTGTGCATGTATATTTTCACTCCACGCAAATGACTTCTTACAAACAGAGCAGCTGAAAGGTTTTTCTCCTGAATGAATTCTCATGTGTGTCACCTTTCGTGACTTGACTGAAAATCTTTTACCACAAACTGGGCAGCTGAAAGGTTTATCTCCTGTGTGGTTTTTCATGTGTTGCTTCAGACTTCCCTTTTTAAGAAATCTTCTCCCACACTCAGAGCATCTATATGGTTTCTTACCAGCGCTACTTCTTGAATCATTGACAGGAACTTGATTGTTTTTCAAAGAATGTAAACCTGACTGAGGGTCTCTGGTCTCATCAGCACTGACTTCAGTCTCAGAAGAGTCCAGAGAATCATCTTCACTAACTGGTTGTAAATGTGTATCTGGATCTGAGTTCCTGGCTGGTTCTGCTCCTCCACAGTCCTCTCCATCAGCTGTTTCCATCTGGTCAGTTTGTCTCTTATGAAACTGTGAGGACTGAGGTATCTCCTCACCCTCATCTTCGCTCTTCACAGAGACAGGAGTGAATGTGAACTTGACATCAGCCTCCTCCAGCCCTTGAAGCTGCTCACCCTCCTGACTGCTCCAGAGTTCCTCCTGTTCCTTTTTAATGTGTGGGGGCTCTGGGTCCTCCTGGTCCAGAATGGAGCTCCACTCTTGCTCAGGGGGAACCTCCTCTTTAACCACCAACAGCTGCTGGACATCTGTGGAGAATAATGAGATATATAAATACACACTGAGAAAAAACTGTAATTTTCATAGTCTAGCAGGAGAAACTGTTTCCCATGTACTCACCTGGCATTTTTTTGTTACCTTATTTTTTTATGCTCACGGTGAAGAGACTGATCTTCATTCTCACAAAATAACCCTCGTTGCTATGACTATACCAAATGTAAGAGCTTGCTGTAATGCAGGGGGAAGGATCAAAGAATAATCAACAGCCCAGTATCACAGTGAGAGAATCAGGGACTAACTGTTGGCTACATGTTACTATACAATTGAAGAATGTCCACCCAGAAATTCCTGAGTTTAGGGCAAGACCAGAGAAGGTGACCCAAGGTCCCCACACCTGATTGACACTTCACATGTGGCAGACAAAGTAGGGAATATTATGCTCAATTTGGCCTTGGAAAAATGCAAATGATGAATGACTTCAAACTAAATAAGTTGGAGTCTAACAATAATGGAACATGTTTTAATCCTTTGTAACCCCCTCGCCCATAATTAATCTGAAATCGCTTCACCTGTATCCTTAGACCAAGCCTCTTTAATATGGAGAGAGGAGGTTGTCAAAGTAAAGAGATAGACAAAATGTGAGATCAAAGGCTTGGATTGCTGAACGTTTTAAACTCAGTTTTCTGGAGGTTGAGGAGCGATGACTCCAACCTCCTTAATAATAATAATACATTTTATTTAAAAAGGCGCATTTCAAAACACCCAAGGTCACCATACAGGAGGCCTACTCAGCAGATGAACAGTTTTCAGCCCTGGTTTAAACAGAGAAGTGACAGTATCTCACCTGCTCTGTGTAACTGAAGCTGAGGGCTGAAAACAGCGTCCAGTAGTTTCCGTTGTCGCTCGTTCTCCTCTTTTGATCTAGAAAGTTCCTCCTCGTACTCTGCTATCGTTCTTTCAAACAGCCCAAATATTTCTTCAGCAGCCGCAGTTAGTCGCTGCTTCACCAACGCTCTCAGCATTTGGGCTTTAGACATTTTAGACTTTGTCTCCACATCCAAACACTGTTTGCTCTCCATCAGTCACTCTGACAGGCGCTTTGATGCTAACTTCCGTCCCCATCAGTGTGTTTCTAGCTAGCATGCTAAGCTAACTCCAATAGATTTGTAGGCTACCGGGAGATGAGTCAGAGGAAAAACATTAAGGAAAAAGTTCAGTCAGACACACAGAGGTTCTGATGGATCACTACAGCTGGAGCTCACACACACTTTCTGACAAAGACACATTTCTGCTCGACGTCAAACAGTGTGAAGACACAAATACACAGCTTCCGGGGCAGATCGGCTGCTGAACTTCAAAATAAAACTACAAAAGTGTTAGAAGCTAACATCATCATTATTGTTATTATTACTGTTATTATTATTACCATAATTATTGTGATTATTATTATTATTATTATTATTATTATTATATTTTTACAGTCTATGACAAATGCGCAGGAAGATAAATTATTAAAAATGAATTTTCCAAAAGAATGGCATTAAATTCCACTTAAACTTTCATTGCTGAACTTGGAAACAAAAGCTTCAAAACATTTCACAAAAGTACGAAAAGATAGTAATAAAGCAATAATACAGTATGTGAAACTGTTGACAGTAGCAGCCCCTCTTTACAGTATCACTGACAATTCTGCCTCCTGCTTCACAGACTAAATTTAATAAACCAGACAACTGTCAGTACCTCTGTTTCAGTCAAAGGTCATCCATGCTACCTGCACAAAATTAGCTAATCGCTAACTTAGCATTTTCGTCAGGGCGTCAGCTTCCAGGCCAAGGGGCGACAGAGGTTGATTGTGTACTGACATGTCCGTATAGCAGTTTTTTTTTCCCCTCGGCACGTTAAATAGGTGGCAGAGTCCATTGGTGAGAGAAATCATTCAGATTGGCAGTTCTGCTCAGTGAACCAGAAGAGAAACAGGATTGAGGAAAGTAAACACACAACTAAAGTCAAGAAGACATGAGATTTTAAAAGACGTGTTATATTAGATGAGATCATTTTTTTAGCCATTGAACTGTTAAAGAAGAAACAGTCAATTGTGTGATTAGGTCGTGTTGTTAATGTGCTCACTGGCTAAGTGGTGTTTTGAACTCCTCTAGTTTCCCTTTCTGAATGATGAGCACAGATTAGAGCCGCCTGCACGTAGATTCACACAGGCGCTAAATGTACGAGCAACTTTTTGTCAGGCACAGGCCTTTAGATTTCTACATAACTAAACTCCTTTAAATTTCTCATTAGTGAATTGTCTTATTTTCTGTTTTATTTTTGTTTTATTTGTTATGGCCTACATGAAACCTAGCAATGTTGTTTCCTATGAACTTTTGTGATTGAAGTGTTAGGGTCAGGTTTAGTAGATGTGAATTAGCTTGGTGGCTAAGAGTTGCATGTTTGGCAATTTAAATAATTAGCATAATAAACAAATTGATCCCCCCAAAAACAGAAATGGCCATAATTTTGCTTCTGATTAACTTTTAAAGTTGAAATAACAAGTCTAACTCCATGTTTGTGACTTCCAGAAATCCGTTTGTTACCACGGTGCAGTTATGCATCCTTTCCTCATTAGCATAATTAGCATAAGGTATGTAAAAAAATGTTTCGGAAATAGCTATATTTTGGCTTTTAGACAACTAAGAAAGGTGATCTCAGAGTTTAAATTTATGTTTTGATGTCAAGAAATTCATCTTTTGCAATAACTAAATCATGCATTTTCTAATTCGCATAATTAGTCGGTGTGTAATGGCACACAAAGAGACAATGACATGAAAGATGAAACGGCGACATGAGACTGGACGTTTGTCAGAGCTGTTAAACCCATAATAATCAGGTGTTTCTACCATTAGCTGATGTGTGAGATTTGCATCATAAATGTTCACAGGAAACAACATTACTGAGTCCAAGAAATTTCCAGTAATCTATCAATACAAGTCTGAATTATGCACCCCCACACTGACATAAAAGCTACAATAGCAAAACATTAAATACAATGCAATGAGAGACATTAAAGATTCAGTACTCCATAAATGTATAGTCAGTTGTCACCTCTTGCGTAAACAGCAGTTTAATAAACCAGGAAACACTACGAATGATCCAATTTAAAGTTGTTTCGGAGATTCTTCTCATGTCAAACTATAAATACTAGGGATGTCCCGATCAAGTTTTATGCCACTAATCCCCATCAGAGTCATTTAATATTGTTGGGAACATAAATTCAGGGTGTCACACGGAGGCACCAATTATGTTAGAAACAACAATATTAGGCCTCACCAAGGAAACACCATTAAAGTTGTAAACTGGCTATCGGAAATAATTAATATTATTAATAATAATTAATTACGTTAAATAACGTGACTTAATTAACATTAAATCCCCTCGTGGGGCACCATTCGTGGAAAGGGAAAATGATAGCCAGTTAAAGATATCAGTCTCATAAAATATGCTAAACTATTAATTTGGAGTTTTGATTAATAATTACATTAATGACAATAACCAAAATTAACAGTAACGCCTGAAGAATTTCGGAGTTCTTGACGCAGCACAGGTTGACTATTCATTCACTCTTGTGCAACATTAAACAGACAGCAGGTATGATTCCATAGAATTATATTTATTCACAAAGTAAGCAAAGCAAAACCAAAAGACACAAATTCTAACTAACTATATACAAGCTTGGTGTGTATGTGTGTGTGAGAGAGAGAGAGAGAGAGAAAGAAGAGAAAGACAAAGGCGGGTGTGGTGATCAAAGAGCTGTTTGGCCTACAAAACAAGATGGCCGAATCAAAGCTGGCTTTAGATCGGGGGAGGTGTTTGTCTGACCGTGTGGTCAGGACAAAGACAAAGGAAAAGAAGCGAGAACTTTGAGATGCCTGTTTGGGTGTAGCTCTGTTTAAAGGAACTAAAAGAAAACTATAAACCCTCATAACAAATATCAGACTGTAAGTCTCCCTTCTTCATTTTCAAGTTTAATCTGAGCCAACAGCATGGATGAAATTCTTAATACCCAGCAGAACACTTAACAAACAGCATGTGTGTGACTAGGAAAAGAGACATAACATAACGTCTTGTCATTCTGTAAGTAAAAAGTACAATGAGATCTAGTGAGAGTATTAATTCAAGGTTCCCATAGCCTGTGGTGGGGCCTATTGTGGTATCTTCTCATGGGGCCCAAAATCCCTGGCGTCGCCCCTGTATGTGATGTACCATGTGTTGTGTTAGTTGTATCTTTTGTATAAATCTTCCTCCACACACTGAGCAGCTGAATGGTTTCTCTCCTGTGTGGATTTTCATGTGTATTTTCAAATTCCCATTGTCACTGAAGGCTTTGCCACACACTGTGCAGCTGAACGGTTTCTCGCCTGTGTGGATCCTCATGTGTTTCCGTAAACTTCCACTCTGTGAAAAAGGTTTCCTACAAAATGAGCAGCTGAATGGTTTCTCTCCTGTGTGAATTCTCACGTGCATCTTCATATTTCCTCTTTCACTGAAAGCTTTGCCACACACTGAGCAGCTGTATGGTTTCTCTCCTGTGTGAATTTTCATGTGCATCTTCAGATTTCCACCGTCACTGAAAGCTTTAGCACACACTGGGCAGGTGTATGGTTTCTCTCCTGTGTGGATCCTCATGTGTTTCTGTAAACTTCCACCCTGTGTAAAAGATTTCTTACAAACTGAGCAGCTGTAAGGTCTCTCTCCTGTATGAATTACCATGTGTGTCTTCATATTTGCCCTGCACAAAAATCTTTTACCACACACTGAGCAGCTGAATGGTTTCTCTCCTGCGTGAGATCTCATGTGTTGTTTCAGACTCTCCTTGTGGCCAAATCTTTTGTCACACTCAGAACAACTAAACAGTTTCTCACGAGTAGTACATCTTGAACCACTGACAGAGACTTTATCATTTTTCAGAGAGTTTAAGCCTGATTGAGGGTCTCTGGTCTCCCAATCATCAGTACTGACTTCAGTCTCATTAGAGTCCAGAGAATCATCTTCACTAACTGGTTGCAAATATGTATCTGGATCTGAGTTCCTGGATGGTTCTGCTCCTCCACAGTCATCTCCATCAGCTCCTGTTTCCATCTGGTCAGTTTGTCTCTGATGAAGCTGTGAGGACTGAGGTATCTCGTCACCCTTGTGTTCATTCTTCACCGGAGTAAATGTGAAATTGATATCAGTCTCCTCCAGTCCTTGAAGCTGCTCTCCCTCCTGACTGCTCCAGAGTTCCTCCTGTTCCTCTTTAATGTATGGTGGCTCTGGGTCCTCCTGGTCCAGACTGGAGATCCACTCCTGCTGCTCAGGAGGAACCTCTTCTTTAACCACCAACAGCTGCTGGACGTCTGTGGAGAATAATGAGATACACAAATACACACTGAGAAAAACTGTGCTAACTCGGGGTCTAACAGATACAAGGACAAGCTAACACATACTGCACTGAAAAGAGTCCACTGAGAATAGTTTTGTGGATGGGCATGGCAAAATGGCTTGACCACGCCCTTTAAAGAGCAGCCCCACAGCATGTTTCATCGACATGCACAAAAATTGGTATGCACATGTATCGCACACTGATGCACAAAAAAGCCTCTTGGACTCACAGGCGAAACCCAAAAAGAAGTCGGCAGATTTGAATTTCCCAGTCAATTTTCGGCATTTCCATGCTACGCATTTTAACAAATTCCTCCTATAGACATAATCCAATTGACTTCAAAACTGGTGTATACCCTCTAGACAACTTTGTGATCAAAGTTATTAAAAGATTTGGTCAGCATTGAACGGTGTGGTCTTGGCGTGGCATCAAATATTTATGTCTCGCCATGACCACATGAAATTCCTATAACTTTCGCATAAATGTTTCAATCTGCACCACACTTCACAGGTTTGATAATAGTCCCGCCCTGAACACATCTATATGATTTTATTTTGGTCATACACATAGTGCCACCTACTGGCAACAGGAAGTATGTTTTTTCAGACACTTATCTTTTGATGTACCTGAAATTTACATGCTGTGGTCTATGTTTGATTTACAGAAACATGACGTATCATTAGTGCGTTCTCCAGTGCCCTCTAGTGGAAAGAAGAAGTGGTACAAAATGTGAAATAGCTCATTCCACTGCCCACACTACTGTGCACTCACACCAAAAGCGTCATGAGCGTCATAAGCAGCCGGCAGCCATTCATTTTCAATGTACGCTTGCTACGAAGGGCGTCAGGGGCGTCGGCTGCAGCGAGTGGCGCAATGCCAGCGACCAGAGCGTCAAGTAGAAGTTGAGAGAAGCTGAACTTTATGCAAATGAGCAGCGCCGCTGCCGAAGCAGCAGCCAATTGCAGACCGGGATTCGGATACGGAGGTCTGGGCTCTCCCGGAGCTGTACGAGCCGGTGAAAGTCACCGTGGAGTTGCCGGGTTTGCAGGACTCTGTGGACCCAGACGGCCCGACGGCTCCGGGCCCTGTGTTTCCTCAGCAAATACGCCAATGCAATACAAAGGAGGCTTCCGAAAGTGCGATTTATGAGCTCCCGCTTATTTACCACCAATTACATTTCTCAGTGGTCCTACGTGCCAACAGGAGAGTAAAATCATAATTATAAAAGACTCATAAAGGCTATATTGACTGTGTTTATTAGCGTTATTTTAATTGTGCAATGAAAGTCATGGATAATACAAAGTGAAGACATAAATGATATATTTGTTCATCCTTGTAAAGTGAACAGCCGTGTCAGCCTTGATGGACATATCTGCAGCAGCCGGCCCCGCCCCTTTGGCCGCTACGCGCGCCTGCTGGAGCTGCTGCCAGGCAGCGCGATGCCAGCGACCTGAGCGACCGCTGGCGCTCATGACGCTTTTGGTGTGAATGCACAGCTTCGGCTATGCCACCTCAATCCTGCGTGCAGTGTCTGGTTTTCACAGAAATGAAATGAACTGCCACATCAGCCGGCATCCTGACAGCACCCCCGAGTTGCGCAGAGGTGTGAGGGCCCATTCATCGCTGCTTGCAGCTTTAATATCTGATCATTTTTGTTTACATTATGTTCACTAACGAGTAATTTATGGTTAATTTAAAGTTTATTATGCTTAATCAATTCTATTTTGTGCCTTTTTTGTCTCGTTTGTTGTCTTTGTGTTTTTTTTTATCTGATAAGTATTTGATATTTGCCTTCTTATATTTGAACATCACCAATGGTAAAAAACCCCAAAACAAAACAAGACAGTGGACAAACAGTTCATTAATAGGCTCGTTCGAGATGAACTGCACCTCGCCTGGAAAGTAGAGGAGAGCAGGCGACTACAGTGGGGGACAGTGACGAAAAGCTGCGGAGACAAAAAGCCACCGTGAAGACAGTTTCCCAACAGTTTCCAGCAGCCTTCAGTCCGTACAGGAAGTCACAGACACACTAACATCCTGTCTGGAATGATGTCAATTTATTAAAAAAGTGATCAGACCCATATATCAGTTTGTTCTCAGTCTCCAGTTGTTTTAATTATGATCAATTTAGTAAAATTCTTTACAGGTGATCTGTAGTTTATGTTCATGGTTTATCCTCCATTTGACATGAATTCTCCTGTAAATCAGCATCATATCAGTTTGACCTGTCCCCTCAACTACACAGGCTGAATAAACTGTGTTTGACTGTATGGTTCATATTTTCAGAGGAAAAAAAATACAAGACAACAGCTTTCATTAAGGCTCGCTCAGATACAGTCAGGGTTTCACATCTGTACATGTTAGTTTAAGAATCCTCACATCCCACTGACCACCAGTCTCTATGTTGCTAAATACTTCAATAATTTAAACCGTCCAATATTAATATACAGTAGACTCTATATAGTTTATGATGAATGTATTTAGTCTCTGACAACTAAACTTCACCATCAGTCACACAACATGTTTTCTGTTCACAGAATGAACCTTCAAATCAAACAAATACAATCTTAATCTCTAAAATTCAACAAAAATGAATAGTTTATCTAAAACGTCATCTTGTTGAGTCGACATCTAAACCAATCAGCTGTTAGATCAGGTGAAAGCCAGGCAGTGCAGTAGGTGGAGAACAACTGCAGCGCCTGGCTCTAAAAACTGAAGCCGCCTCGCTCTCGCGGATTTATCGAAGTCCACTTTTGTAATACGTCAGAGCAAGTCGAGATGAAGTCGGACACAAAACTAACCAGCATGCATTGTGCGCCGATCGCCGGTGATCGAATCTGTGCAGGCCTGGCTCATCTCGAACTAACCTAGTATTTTCTGTCCTATACTATTAGATTAAAGAGTAACTAAACCCTAAAACCATTTTTTTCAGCTGATAATCATTGTTTCTGGTTGTATAGTAGTGTTACTGACTGATCCTGCTCAAAATCTTGACAGTTTAGTGCAAACTGTTGAAAATCTACATTTTATTTTAAAAATGTTCTATGGAGTGCCCTCTACAGCTTGAAACCTGGTTACTACATTTGAATTTACATTACATTACATTGGAGGCGAATGACTCTTTTTCGGGGCGAATGACGTCACTAACCGTCCACGCTAAAGCCTGCCTTCCTCCCTTTACTCCTCCCCTTACTATAAAACCATTCTGTCCGCAGTTATCAAACTGATAGCGAGTAAGTTGGATCAGAGCAGAGAGAGTAGTAGAGGAGAGAGAATAGCTAGTAATTTGTCGAACTGTATTGTTAGCATAGTGGATTTTAGTGTAGGTTTACAGTTAGTAGTGTGTTTATAGTATTTAGGTTAGTTGGTCAAAGAGAGGCGCAGAGGCTCGGGAGTATATGTGCGGGGCGGCGAGGGAGGGAGGGGTGGATGGATGCGGTGGGCTGCTGCGTGGTGAGCCCAGGCTCTCAGAGAGGGAGAAATAGAACCAAGTAGGATAAAATAAGTCAAAGTGTGGAGAAGGGGACCGGCTGAGCTCCGGCCGCCTTCCCTTCTGCCCGTGTGACACAGTAAGGGGGGGTTTTCCAAGCCACCATCGGCACAATGAAAATAAGTCTAAGTGTGGAGGACAGGGACCGGGTAAAAAGGCCGACCTCCGGGGAAGCCCTCTCCCCTCTCCCCTCTCCCCGCAGCGAGGGACCGCTCTCCAAGGTACCAGTGCTGGGCTGGGTGATAATAAGCCAAAGTGTGGAGGAGAGGGACTGGGTAAAGAGGCCTGACCTCCGGGGGAAGCCCTCTCCTCTCCCTCTCTCAGCTCCGCCTATCTTTTCTGAATTTTTTTGAAATCAAGCTGTGGGCGGAGTAATGCCCAGAGAGGGGGGTTTAGTTCCCCTTTAAATGATTAATCAGGTGTGTGCTGGGTGTGCCGCACACCTGATTAATCACTTATAGTATAGGACAGGAAATACTCATACCTACTTCCTTACAGGAAGTAGTGGAGCTGGTGCACAATGTGAGACAAGAAGGAGCCAAGATGGCGCCGCTGTAAGACGCTTTTTCTGTGTGCTGCCTAAGCTTTTTTCGTTCAAGACTTGAATTTGCTTGCTTAAGGACTTTTTCTGTCGGACTCTGCCTGCAACGAGCCAACACTGTTGCTAACCATTGGAGTTGTCTGCTTGCTAGCTCGGCATCACAAAAGCTGTCTTCAAAAAGGCTCCAACCGCTAATGACTGACTCCGGTGATATGTCGACTACGTGGGAGGATATGGAAACGGCAGTGGAAGCAATGGAGGCCGCGGAGAGTCTTAAACGGTGCCAAACAACATAATGTGGAAGACTCTCCGAGTCCTAACGTTAGCCCACAAAGAAAAGCACCGCGTCGCGAGACAGAGACCACCAACTCTGTCCTGCTGGCGGCAATTAACAAGCTCGCTGACTCGCAGAACGGTTTCAAGGAGAAGCTGGACTCCATAGAGAAGTCCATAGAAATTAACTTTAAGAGCATTCAAACTCTCTCTACTTCAGTGCAAGCTGCTGAGAAGAAGGTGGGGGAGCTGGCATCCAAAGTGGACCCCCTGGAGCTCCAGATTAAAACTTTGTCTGCTGAAAATAAGAAGCTAGAGGAAAGAGTGAACGACATGGATGCATACTCCAGACACTGGAACTTGAAGATCTCTGGGATTCCTGAGTCTGAGGGCGAAAATGTGAAAATGACGGTGACTGATCTCTTCTCCTGTGTCTCTCCTGGTCTCGCCGACTCTCTTCAAAAGACGGTGGATATCGCCCACAGACTGGGACCACGGATGAGGAAGGAAGGACAGCATCCACCACGCCGCATCATAGTTCGGTTTTTGTACCAAGCACACCGAGATCAAGTTTGGGCAGACGCTAAAAACTCTGAGGTCCTCAAGCAGAAGAACGTGAAGATATCGGAAGACTTAACTCAGCAAGTAAGGGAGGCGAGAGCGAAGCTGTGGCCGCTGGTGGAGGAAGCGAGGAAGCACAACAAGAGAGCAGGCTTCAGCGGTCCTTTTGCTATTATTGCTGGTAAGAAGATTTCAGCCGAGGACTTGACATGAAGGATTTGCATGAGTAGGTAGAATGAACTACTTGGAAAAAATTGATTGTGAAGTATGTAGGCTATATGATAAGCTGCATATTTTCTTTATCTTATTTGCTCTTCCTTATACAAGATGGTTTGAGGATATTTTTTTTGGTATCGACTTTTTTATTTAAAAATAAAAGAAAAAGAAAAGAGGATAGCTCCTTAACCTGCCTTTGAGAGCAATTGCATTTATATTTCTCTTACTAAAAATGGATCTAGGGATCTATAATTTTCTATTTGTTTGTAACATGATTTAAATATATGGCTTACAGGGGTCAGTTTCTAAACTGTTCTCTTAACTTTAAGCCTTTGGTTTGTGTATTCAAGTTTTGAACATTTTTCAATCTTTTGCATAACTACTACTACTGTTTAAGTAGCATTGTTCACCTGTGTTTCGTGTAGTGTTTTATACGTATGTTTGATATTAATTTTTCATGTTTTTCTCTTAATGTACGGGGAGTACGAGATCTAAGTAAAAGAAAAGCTTCGTTTTATATTTTGTAGTTATCAAAATAAGGATGTTTATTTTTTACAGGAGACTCCTTCTTCTTCAAAAGATGAAGCATTCTGGTGTAATCAGTGGGGAGGCAAAGTTATATTTTCTCACGGTACTAATTTCTCAGGAGGGGTTTTAATTTTATTCAATCCGAAATTTAATGGCGAGATTCTGTATACTGAGGCTTCTGATGCTGGTAGATGGGCTTTGGTAGTAATTAAATCTGGGGATAATATATTTATTTTGGTAAATGTTTATGGATTTAATGCAAGGAACTCTAACATCACACTCCTTAATTTTTTGGCTAACAAGATTCTGCAAGAAAGAAACAAATTTCCTTCAGCATTTGTGGTTGTTGGCGGGGACTTTAATGAGGCTTCAAACTTATGTATAGACAGATACCCTGCAAGAGGAAATCAAGATAACTTTAACCCTGTTATATATGCTTTTTGTGGTAAGCTATCATTATTAGACGCCCTAAGAATTTTACACCTGCATGAAACAAACCTCTTTACCTGGTTTAAAGCAGATTTAACACAAAAATCTAGTTTAGATTTGTGACTTATTTCTGACAATTTAGCATCCTTGGTCCAAACATGTAAAATTACTGCAACTCACTTAACTGACCATGCTGGAATAGATATTTCTTTCTCAAATTCAAATTTTACTGGTCGCAGCAAACCTGGAAATTGGAAATTGAATTCTTCCTTTTTACAGCAATCAGATTATCGGTTGGGTATTAAGCAAATTATTGCTAAATACCAATAAATGTCTGAATTTACTCCTATGTTAAAGTGGGAGTTACTCAAATTTGAATGTCAAAGTTTTTCAATACGATTTGGAAAACAACAATCCAAAGATAAAAACAAGGCTTATGCTGATAATATAAAAGAGATGAATGATATATTAAACATTCCTGTTCCAAGTAATGAGGACAAAGTCAAATTACACTCTTTACGGGAAACATTAGATCTTTTTTTCCAAACAAAAGCGAAGGGGGCGTTCATAAAGTCTCGGGCCAGATGGTTGGAACATGGAGAAAAAAATCCTTCTTTCTTTTTTAGTTTAGAGAAAAAACGTGGTGAAGCAAGGAAAATCTCTGCTTTATATATTGATAATAGTCTCATTTATCTCTAACTTTTATCAGAAATTATACACTTCCTTGTTTGACCCTCAGGCTTGTCGTGACTTTTTTGACAGAGTATCCCCATTTATTCCTAAAATCTCCAGAGAAAATTGTGAGCTTTGTGAAGGTCCAATTACACTAGAAGAATTACAGTCTGTTATTACAAAGATGCCTTCAAATAAAAGTCCTGGTCCAGATGGATTGCCTTATGAATTCTATGTAACATTTTGGGAAGATATACAACACTTATTATAGGAAGCTTTTGTTGATTGTGCCAAAAATAATGAGTTAACGGTCTCTATGAAGCAAGGCTTAATATCTCTCATTCCTAAACCAAATAAAGATCTTCTTTATCTTGATAATTGGCGACCTATAACTTTGCTTAATTCAGACTACAAATTACTTGCCGCACTGTATGCTAATAGATTAAAAATATGTTTAGAGGAAATTATTTCTGTAACTCAGTTGGGTTTTATGAAAGGTCGGCACATTTCTAATAATATTTGGCTTGTTCTAGACATTTTAGATTACGCAGATTTATTTGATTAAAATTCATTGATTTTGTTTTTGGACTTTTACAAAGCTTCTGATACTGTCAAATACTCTTTCATTTTCGAAGGTTTACAGTATTTTGGGTTTAAAGAAAACTTTAGGAATATCATAAGTACTCTCTATACTAATATTAATAGCAGTGTATCTTGAGCACATGGTACCTCTCCGCGTTTTGATGTAAAATGTGGGATAAGACAAGGTTGTCCGATTTCGCCTTTCTTATTTTTGATAGCTGCTGAACTTCTTAATTTGTTTATTGTCAATTGTGTGAATGTAGAAGGTATTAAGATAGGTGACAACGTTCTCACCATTAGTCAGCTGGCTGATGATACCTGTCTGTTTCTTCAAAATGAACTTCAAGTCCCTATTGTTATGGATGCCTTACAAATGTTTTCAGTTGCTTCTGGCCTCACTATTAATAAGAATAAGTGTGAGATAAGGACTGTACATGATTCTGACATTCTGTTAATTGATGGTATAACGGTAAAAAAAGTGGTGAAATATCTGGGAATTACGATAAGCAAATCTACAGATGAAAGGATCTCTCAAAACTTTCTGCCAAACATTGATAAATCTAAATCTATTTTTAATTGTTGGTTACAAAGAGACCTTACTGTTATGGGTAGTGTTTTACTTTCTAAGGCGGAAGGTTTATCTAGATTAGTGTATCCAGCTTTGTCTTTATATATTGATCGGAAAACATGTGCAGCTATTGATTCACTCTTATTTAAATTCATTTGGAAGCACAAGACTGAATATGTAAAGAGGAAAACACTTATTAGACAATACTCAGAGAGTGGTCTCAATGTCTTAGATTTCCAAACTATTAATAGTATATTTAAAATCAATTGGTTAAAACTTTGTTTAGTACACAATAATGCCCCTTGGTTTTTTATCCCCAACTTTCTGTTTGATAAATGTGGTGGTTTAAAGTTTTTGCTTTCATGTAATTTTATCTCAGGTAAACTGCCTGTTAAGCTTGCCAATTTCCATAAACAAGCCCTGGACACATGGAAAATCGCTTTTAAGCACAATGTCTCTCCACACACATGTATATTATGGAATAATCAACATGCTGTATACAAAAATAAGACCATATTTTTTAAAGACTGGTATGACCAAGGTGTTATGTTTATTTTTGAACTTCTGAATGATACTGGGGACCTAGCTACCTATGAAGAATTCACCCAACAAAGAGGATTAGAAATTTCTCGTTCTTTGCATTCCAGAGTACTTAAAAGTATACCTACTAACTTGCTATCTCTAATTAAAGCGTCTTGTCTGTATGAACCTTGCTCAGGAATGATTCCTGTCCTGTGGCTTGGTGGAAGGGCTTTTGAGGAACGTTCCTGTAATAATGCTCATATTAGGAGTGTTTTTACTTCTCTTCATAGTCAGTATCCCAACTCCTTTCATCGGTGGAGAGTGATGTTTCCTAACATCAGTAGGAATGTCTGGACTGAATTTAACAAATTTCTTGTCCCCAACAAAGTTAAAGAAGTTCATATCAAACTCTTGCATAGATACTATCCTTGCAATGAATTCATTAACAAGTTTAGACCTGATGTGTCACCTTTATGTACCTTCTGCAAAGAAGAGGTGGAGTCTTTTTCTCATTTATTTAATGGATGTCAACATTCTTCTAATTTTTGGAATCAAATATCTTTATTACTTTGGGAGTCTCAGAAGGTCTTGGTCACCATTACAGAAGGTATGGTCTTGTTTTTGAGTGTCGAGTCTAACAATAAGAAAATTGATAGTGTGATAAAATTGCTGTGTCTGTTGGGTAAATATCATATTCATAAAGCCAGATTTCTTCAGTTTATTGATTCTGTATGTAAAGTACCTAAAAACAAAAAAGCTTTCAAGACATCCAGCCTACTAAAAGATATTGTAGGCCATATTGCCAGATAATATAGTGTCCCTGCTATATGTTTTCTTATTCATTTATTTATTTGTTTTGTTATTTATTTATTTATATATCTACTTACTTACTCTGTTAGTTCTTTTTTATATAATTTGCACATTTTTTGTCTGCTTGTGTTTGTTTTTTTAATTTTTTATCTTTTTATGTGATATATATAGTTTTTTTTTTACCTTCTCCGTAACACTGTACTCCCTGTACTTTCACGTTGATACAGCTATTTGTATCGTATTGTACCTTGTCTTAAAGATTTGAATAAAGTTTGAACGCCGTTCATTTACCGTAAAGTTCAGAATAAAGCCGTACTCCTGTTTTAATGGCGGCTGGTCTGAGGTCACTTTATGCATTGTATGGTTTAAACAGAAGAAGTAGTGAGGGTAACAAACCTGCTCTGTGTAACTGAAGCTGAGGGCTGAAAACAGCGTCCAGTAGTTTCCGTTGTCGCTCGTTCTCCTCAATTGATCTAGAAAGTTCCTCCTCGTACTCTGCTATCGTTCTTTCAAACAGCCCAAATATTTCTTCAGCAGCCGCAGTTAGTCGCTGCTTCACCAACGCTCTCAGCATTTGGGCTTTAGGCATTTTAGACTTTGTCTCCACGTCAAAACACCGCTTGCTCTCCATCAGTCACTCTGACAGGCGCTGTGTTGCTAACTTCCGTCCCCGTCAGTCTGTTTCCAGCTAGCATGCTAAGCTGACTTAAATAGCTTTGTAGGCTACCGGGAGATGGAAAAACATTCAGGAAAAAGATTCGGACATACAGCGGCTCTGATTGATCACTGCTGCTAGAGCTCACACACTCTTTCTCTACAACAAAAACAAAGGGGCAAAGACGCCATCTTGAGAGTGAGGACAACCTCTTCCGGCGCGATTGAATTTCTGAACTTCAAAATAAAAGTCCCCATATTTGTTTATCGTAACAGACCTAAGACCTTGTGGAAAGACAGTGACACAAATTCACCCACTATTGTTTCTAAAACCTAATCTTAGTGTTATGTATTTATACGCATTACAATACAGAGGACCATCTCTTTGGAACAGCCTCCTTCCATCATACAATCATCATCATTATCCAAAAAACATCTGAGAAGGACTCTGAACACTTTATTGAGTTATTTGTAATTGGTTTGTTGTTGGAAATTGTACATCTCGAATCATTTTGTAGTACTTATTAGTCTGGAGCTCTTATTCAATTATGTAATCTTAATTTTTATCCTTTTCTTTTTATGTATGATTGTTATTATTTAATAGAGGAGGTGTCTTCATAAGCCATTTTTGGCTTCTAATCTCTCTTGCACAGTGTTTTAACTTCTCATTTAATTTGCTGTATTTTCGATACATGTATGTACAACTAAACGTGTCATCATCTTATATTATCTGACACGACAGCAATACAATTTGATAGTATACTTTGCATTTTATGCAGCATAATCTCTAAACGGATATCTACATATGTATGTATGCAGAATTTGTAGGCAAAGGGACAAGCGACAAGATTTTTTGTAAGCAGAAGCATTCTGGTTTTTGTTTGTAGTCTGAGTAGTACTGACCAATCAGGAGTGAGTGGCATATGAACAGTCCATGTTAAGAGCAGAGAAGGCAGAAAGCATTAAACAAATTGTAATCTCAGGACCCACTGGGTATGTCTGACGAGGATTTATCTTTTTTTCCTTTTTCTTCTATCTGCATTCATATTCAAATATCTGTTAGAGATAGAGATTGGCAAAAATGCTATCTGGAAGTCTCATGTTGCTAATCGGACAGTAAACAATGAGCACTGAACAACAGAGGAAGTCCTCGCACGGAAATCCACTGGCTAGACCAGAAAATCTGAAATATTTGCCCTGAGAGGCTAAATGGTTGTCAGATTATAGCCAAAGCATTCTGAGATTGATTTTTTGCACTACCAGCAATTGTCTACCTTTTCCCCTTTTTATATTTGATTGTGTGTCTTCTCAGAGCTGAATGACATCTATCCATTTTCATCCACTTTTCTAGGGCCGGGTCGAGGGTGCAGCAGGCTGAACAAAGTACTCTGGACTTCTCTCTTCCCAGCAACACTTTCCAGCTCCTCCTGGGGGATCCTGAGGCATTCCCAGGTCAGATGAGATATGTAATCCCTCCAGCGTGTTCTGGGTCTGCCCCAGGGCCTCCTAACATTGGGACGTGCCCGGAACACCCATAATGGGAGTTGTCTGGGAGGCATCCTGATCAGATGCTCGAACCACCTCAAAGATACGATACAAACTTTATGCAATTATTTCTGTATATTTATATCCATTCACTGTGAACAGAACTGATTATTCAGTTATTACATATCAAACTCCACAGAAAAAAAACTTCACTGTCTGAAAATTGTCTCTTTATTTTACTATGAAGTATCGCAGTAATTCATAATCCATTATAAAAGTGTACAAAAATGTCCATTAACAAACCAAACAACAGGTCAGAGGTCATCCATTCAATAAACCATCTGTGAGCATTTAACTGTCAGATATTTGAACTTCTAGACAGCTGATAAATGAATCTTTTAACCAAAGTGACATTAAAAAACTTCCTGTACATTCCTGATGATTATTTCAAAAAATAAAACGTCCTCCAGATGCTGTCGACCACTGAGTGTCAGAAGGGAAACTTTCTAGACATTAACGTGTTTGTTTGGACTGGAAGTTTGATGTGTCTCAGATTTCCACCTCATAGCTTCTTCTTCATCAGGCAGAAATCTAATTCTACTAGTTCATCCCAGACAAAGACTGTTTGCTCCTTACTCTGTCTCAAGTCTCAGCAGCATTTAAAGCACAAACAACTTATTCACGGTTGTTTCACCAACATATTTAATGTTACACCATAAATCTTGTGATGTCGGACACTTTGCATGACAATGTTTTATTGCCTCTAAGCTTCTTCATCACTGAGTGTAACATCAGTAGAAGAAGCAGCTAATCAGTCGTCCATGAAACCATGAAACGACTCCTGTTCACTGTCACCATTAAACACCTGATGCAGAGCAGACGGGCTTTTTATCAACAGCTCCACCTCCTCAGGGTCCTGCACCACCTTTTCTGGGTCCTGCTCCATGTCCTCCTTCCTCTCTGCCTCCATCACCTCCTCCTCCATCACTAGCAGCAGCTCCAGCTGTGGTTCTGGTTGAGGTGGAGGTCCAGAGGTCTCAAGAGGCTGGACCAGAGCCTCAGTCAGGGCTGTGATCATCTTCATTGCATCCCGTCGATCCTCCACCTGCTGTAGGTTACACACTGAGGCAAACGACCTGTGGAGTTACCATGGCGAAACAAACAGCTGTTAGTGCAGAGCCGGAGAAAAAAGAAAATCTGCAGGAAGAGTCATCGCACAGCTGAAATCAGTGGTGTAGTGGTAACTGATGAGGTGGGTGTACTCCTAGGTAGATAGGTAGGTTACTGATGAGGGAGTGGGCATACTCTCCTATATATTACAATGGCTTTTTATCTGATAGGTGGATATACTGTACCTGGATAGAAAAAGAAGTGGTTATACCCCGTGTTGGGATTCACAGGACCACAGATGATTTGCCAGTTGTTAAAATCTAAACGGGACATGTGAAGGCTTTTTCCTCTGCATGCTCTTTGTCTTCAAACAAAGAGAACTATGTGACACCCATCTCCACAGGAGGTCTCACCTCACACCTCAGTGAAACTCAAGTCTCAAAATGTGATTGGACAGCACTTTTACAGTGACATGTGACTCTGATGTCACAGGCATCTGTAGAAGGTCTGCTCCCTTCAGACAGATCTCCCTCTTACTCGGGAACTGTGGAGCAGCCCACACCTCCATCTGGGCTGTTCTAGGCCCACCTTTCTGCTGGGCCTAGAACAGCCCAGATGCTCGGGCCCTTGCTCCTTGCCCTGAACTATCAAAGGTGGGGCAATTGCTCACAGACTCTCTTTTTCCTGGACCACAACTTGCCCACGCTCAAGGCTGAGGCAAACCTGAACCAGAGAAGTTAGACTTGCAAGCACAAGGTTTGCAACTAGCTTTCTAGCAACAAAAAGAACCAAGTGAGTTAGCACCCAGCATCTAACTCTGTAAAGACCTCGAGCGACCAGCTTCCTCAGAGTTCCACCTTTGGAACAAAGGACACAACAAAGACTGCATCTGCAACCACAGCTCTTTCCGACCTTCCTCTGCCAGCTAACAAAGCAGCACACCACCAAAGCAACTCTTCTTCCCATCCATTCAAGGATCAGTAATGTAACAACTGGGCATAGCTTAATCACAGCTTTACAGGCTAAGCAAGACTGTTTAACTTGATGTATGTGATTTAATGCTGTTTACTGAGTATTTGTTGTGATTGTTTGCAGTTAGGTCATTGATTAATTGGCTTTGCCAAAGCTAAGTGTTAAGTTTGCTAATACTGTTCACAAACAGATTCTTGCACACAGCTGAACAATCTCTGCATTAATCCAGACTGTTTGCAAAACAAATCACATCCACATAGACTCATTAACAAATAGGCTTTCAACAGAGCTACACCCAAACTGTAGGGCCGTAACGGTACATGTATTTGTGTCGAACCGTTCGGTAAGCAACTTTCGGTTCGGCACAACCCCGTATCGAATTATTGGGCTCAGGATATTATTTTATTTTATTTTGTTTTATTTTAATTCCGTTTTTGCGAGCCGAACCATTAAAAATATCTAGTTCCCCGACGGACATAATTGAGTGACGGACCGAGTCTGACCGTAAATCTACACCTTCACTTTGTGCAGCGCATTCTCGTATTTTGACAACATGGCAAGTGAGCCTGACGAACCTGAAGACCCACCCGCAAACCTTAAAGGGAAATTTCGGTATATTTCAACCCATCTCCTATCATCCTAAATTTGTTTCAAGTGACTAGTGACATAGAAATAATAGTTAGCATGTTAGCTGTTAGCCTAGATACAGCCAGGGCGCAGTAGTATTGTCAGACCTGTTAAAACGTAAGTGAACAGGCATACCTTCAAGTGCAAAGTTAGTCCACTAAACAAGCTTTTTTTCCACAAAGACCGCCTCATATCATTAGGATAAATGTCAGAGAACATATAGAAAACAACATGTAAACGTGTTGTCTTACCGGTGTGGTGCCGTGTTTGTTTATCCCTCTAGTTCTGCTTTCCAAAGCGCGGCCGAAATATATCTCGCCAGCTCTAGATAAAGCCCAGCTGGATACTAACGTTACTCCAGGTGGAGGTGTCTTGTCCTCGGCCACATCCAGACCTTGACAATAAGGCTGCAACCGGTCCCATTCCTTGCAACAGAGGCATTCCTCACAGGTAACGTTACACCACCAATCCCCAGAGCTACGCAGCCTTGCAGCAGCCATTCATCCTCTACCTGTTGCGCCTCTCTCGCTCTCCTCCTCCGTTCTTCAATTTCACGAAGCTCTTCGTCAGTGTATCCTTCCAGCTGTTGCTGCTTGTTCAGGCACGCTATGAGATCGCTGCTTGTTCTCGCGATATTTCGGCCGCGCTTTGGAAAGCAGAGCTAGATGATAAACAAACATGGCAGCACACCGGTAAGGTAAGACAACGCGTTTACATGTCATTTTCTATATGTTCTCTGACATTTAACCTAATGATATGAGGTGGTCTTTGTGGAAAAAAAGCTTGTTTAGTGGACTAACTTTGCACTTGAAGGTATGCCTGTTCACTTACGTTTTAACAGGTCTGACGCTACTAGGGTTGGGTACCGAAACTCGGTACTTTTTGTACTTTGTACCGATTCACGTCGGTACTACTGAGTACCGATTCACTTAATATGAAACGGTGCCAAATTTCAGTACCTGAGGTGGAGGCGGAGCGGGAGCGCATGACTCACACCTCAGACTCAGCAACAGTGGCGACAAAAACAATGT